AGTACGAGACGCACCCATGCATATCGATGGCCACCCGGTACAACTGTACCAAGACCTGGCTCCTGTCACACTTTGCGCGAGATGAAGCCTGTCACCAAGATCCTCTGGCAACAAAGAATCAGATACTCTTGGGGACACCCCTTCAAACTAACGGTGTAGTGGGACAACCAGACCTTCACTCTCACTCGCCCGGTGGAAGCCCACCAGTTCCTGGAACACCTAGGTATACCCAACGCCCAATTAGAAGCTCCACCAGCTTCCCACGGCTCACAATCGTCCCCTCACTTCTGGGAGCCGCTGCCCTCCATGCCAGACCAGCCCGCCAGAAGACAAACCGCCAACGCCCTGGAAGCTTATGGAGAACAATGGACAAAACTAAAGCAAACCTCCATTACAGATTGCAGCACTGCACATATTTCTTCCAGCCTGCGTTGGCACACCAAGGTTTGGACAGTTTAAAGCCTCTGTTTGTGGCCGCCCAAACTTACCCAAATTCCTGAAAGAAGAATTGTACCCTGATGCGATGAACAAGCGAAGCTACAATCACCTACTCACAGCGCACACTTAAGTATTCTCTATGTATTTGGCATCTGTGTTTCACGCTATTTGACAACCAAGCCACAGCACAGTTTGTCCACACACTACCACTCCTCACCCACTCCTTCCCACGCATTAGCACACAAACCCTCTCATCCGCTACCTGACCACTCACTTTGAAGATAGGGACACTACTAGCCAATCTAAGCAACACAACCTCATTCCAGGATCTGACTGCCTAGCAAAACAGACCACGCAACCCGCACCCCACACGCACTGACTTTATCACTACACGACCCAATGCCCACATCACCACTCACTACAGACCCACAGATCACATACCCAGAGACATACCACCTTCATCTGCCACTTGGGATGCGCCCAACATCACACCCCCTGACGGACCCTCCCAGTCACGACCCGAAGCACCGCCACCAAAAGACTGACCGCTGACCAACAGACCGAACCCCCGGCAACCTTCTAGAGAAGGTTGGGTGTTCCTATTTCTACCAACACCCAACCCCTGAACCGCAAAGATGCACGACCTACAGACTTAATGTATACCTGGCTAATAGCAGACCGAAAACAGTACACATTAATATATGCCATGGACCCCCCCACCATATGCCTCCTGTACGGTACACGACTACAAACCTATCTCTAAACCAAGGGGATGGGAGGGAGATGAGGGAGGGGGGGGATGGGAAAAATTACAATGTTTGCTAACAAGTGTGATAACCCAATATCTATGTTTTATTGCTGATTTATGCCTCTAACCTCAGATATGTTTCACAATGCTTGTTTTACATCTTTAAGATATATAACGTCTATACTCAAATTTCAAAATTACTCAACGCCAGCTTAACCCCTTAAGGACACATGACAGAAATATTCCGTCATGATTCCCTTTTATTCCACAAGTTGTGTCCTTAAGGGGATAAACTGTAAGAGGAAACGTAGGTGGCACAAACATGCCACTGACAACATGCATCACCTGTAACTGTCAAACACAATGGTGAATCCCGAAAAGACACTAAATGTCTGTGGCCCATGATACCACCCATGAGCAC